CCCATTCAAATAGTGTCGCAAGCTAAAGGGTGGAGGTGGGGTACCGTGGTTAAGAGCGCACAGCCATGGGCAGGGAGATAGCCGTTCATGGTGCCTGACCGGAACCACCATCCCGCCAATGCCCCGGTCACCCGCTTCATCTTAGCTCTGTGGCTCACATGAGCGTGCGTTGATGTCGGGCGTACCGGAGCCACAACGTGCCAAGTCGTGCGCTAACAACATCTGGCTCGTATGCTGACCAATGGGCTCCTCATTGCAAATTCGCTCTTGTGGGAAGGCGTGACAGCGGTAGCCGGCGGTCCACAACATCCAGCGGCGGCCAGACAGCCGCGCACGACGCCCAGCGAAGGAAACCGCCTCATATGCGCACGTGTTAAAAAGGTTAAATTGACCGTTTTGACGGGTTTTTACGTCTCGGATTACATCTTGACACCCAGTGCGCGTGCAGATGTGAATTTCTCTCCCCAACATTCAAAATTGAAGCGGCTGCATTTTCGGTGCGCATCGCGACCTCGTGCAGCGAACCGTTGCGCTGCGAATTGAAATACAAGTTACAGGATTGCCAAGTTTTGAAAATCGGCGCCCAATACAAGCCTCCGCCGTTACAATCATTCATGATGTAGCGTTGAAAACTACACCAGCATGTTGGGCGATTTGTTTTCTCTCAATACCAATCTTTTTTATCATATTTTCACGATGCTTTGCTACGGAATGAGCCTAGATGAGTGGGTTTGCACAGCGTCTTTCCACGCCGCGACGGAGCGGCGTTGTCCGGTGTCTCGGCCGACTCCGGCCGTTGCTTCAAGGTTAAACGGCCGTGTGATCACGTGACTGGCTGCCGCAATTAACTTCCTCTGACCGATGACGCCATCTCGCACCGATATCTCGACAACGGCGGGTCGGAGCAAACCGGGGATGGCACATTAAGATGTGCCATGCTAAATGGTATGGTCGCACATACCACGCGGCACGCGCTTAAGATGGATTTTGCTCTCTTCCACGGGTTTGCGCGTGTTGTGCCACATCTCGACACCCGTGGCACGAACACACGCGGGATTGGCGCGCTTCGCTGATGAATGGAAGGAGCGAGATGATAATGAGTGGTGAGACATGCCGCATGTCATGGCTCCCACGTGTTTGACTATGGATTATCCCGTGTTTGCTCTTTTGACGGAACCACGGAATAAAGTACTTTGTGACTGGCGTGCTTCGATGGGCGATTTAACGGCCAATCCCTCAGACGTGTACAATGTCATGCTCCACGTGACATGTGACACGTGCGCATTAGCTGTGAAGATGTATTTTGTCGACTTCGTCGGTTTTTACGTTGTACACGAGATTTCCGCTCTTATGACACGTAGTAACACGAGCCTGGCATGCTGCGATAGGCCATTGAACGGGAAATCTCCTGGCGTCCCGAGTGCGGGGTAGCGAGTTACGCGTGTTGGGCAAACACGAGCCAAGAAGATGGCTTTTTCTCTCTTCCACGGGTTTACACGCCTTGTGCCACATCTCGACACCCAGTGCACGGACACATTCGGAAGTAGCTAGCATGCATTGATGGGGAATCGAAAGGGCAATCGCTTGATATAAGTTGCCATGCTACATGTGCTATGTGTCACGCGTGCACGAGACAGGTTTCCGACCGCTTTCCTTATTCCTTTGTTTTGTGCCGCATCTCGGCATCTAAAGCAGCTAGAACCATCAATTAAACTGAAAGGTAGACAATTAAAAATTCTACGTTTTCTTATTGAGCGCAGCGGAGCAAACGTGCAACCGCTTGTATACGCCTGGGAGGAGTTCTGCAACTGTGCATGGTCAATTTTTGAGATATTATGTGCCTTTGCGTTTTGCAGCAGTTATTATGACATTATTCATGGCTCCCTTTCAATCAGTTATCAACCCTACCCTCCAATTGCATAACTGCCACCAGTTTAGACATTTTCACCATCGATTGAACTAGGTCGTTAACCGCAATGCCTCCTTGTCACCAAATGCATGAAGGATGTGTCCAGAAAAAGTATCATCCACTGGATTGACTAATGTTCCACTAAAAAGGTGAAACAAATCACGAAGATACAGTAGGAAATCAAGAATCTGTGCCAGAATCTAGGATATTCATGGGATTTCCCCAGAGGTGAGATGCCGTGCAGCTCCGTACAGGATGATGATGACATCGCTAGATCCTTCTGCCTTCGCCCCGCCTCGCCGCTGGCTCCGTCGCCCAGTGAGCTAGCATTGCTTTTAAGCTAGGGTGGAAGCGAACAATTCCATTGCAAAGAGACCGCACAGGAGTGAAAAATTCCATCCACAAAAGGTGGAGCTTATGAGTCAGTGAAAGATACTCCAGCAAACAAGAACATCCATTTCAAGTTAGCATGGACAAAATATCACAGATATGACAAAACGTACTTTTGTTTTACACTTCTTAGGTCATGGCACTGAAACAGAATACATTAGAGGGAAGTACTTTTATAATATTGTAATGAGCACCAAAAGGTATGTGACACCAATGTTTTGATGCTGTACTTTGTCGCTTCCGTTCCACATAATTTTTAACACGAAACAGACCAAAGAAATTCAACATCAAAACAACAATAATTGACAATAAATTGATCAACATCTTAGGCCATAGATGGCATCTTTCAAGATTCTCGAAAAGGAAGGAAAAATGAAGTTGCATCGCATCTGTATGAGACCAAGAAAAACAAAAGTAACAAAATAAATATAAGGACATAAAGAATTTTGGCCAAATTTTGTAACAACTCATCTGAATAGAAATCTGTGAAAATGAGCACTTAGATGGTAGCATTCAGCTTTTACATTTCACTTTTAAAGCATTTCTGGAATTTTCCCTCCTACGGTTCGGTATTTATGCAATTTAGAGGTTAAGTTTCTTCGAGGAAAAAGAAATACGTGGAGAAAATTATCTACCAGGCTTTGCTGGTTTTTGTACCAGGCTTTACTTTGCTAGTGTAGAGTTCACGTGGTGTGACCCACGAAACTGGGGATGCGTGGAAACCTTGTATATGGCGGCACACAACTATAGGTTGTGATGCGTTCTGTAACCAAACCAAAATTGATGCATGCAGGCGGCTAAAGATGCAGGGACTCTCGGAATTGAAGATACCTCGCGTCGTTGCTCTGTTCATACAAAGACATGGTTCAGATGTAGGTGAGGCAGGATGTAGCCATAGGTGTCCAGGTTCTGTGCAGCCTTGTTTATGCTTGGGGTATTAAAGTGAGCTCGGACTTGGATGACACCTTAAAACTTCTGAAAGGTTAAAATATGGGTTAAGAATGCGCGGTCAATATCAGGCAGGAGTGAAAAATTCGCATAACATTTGGGATATGCAGTGAAAAATTAGTGCTGCTAGGGTGTCGCCTCACATCAAACAGTCGGTAATTCTAGGACACTGCCGTAGCCACATCGCGACGGAAACATCGCACCCGGCGCGGCTTCTAATCTCTCAAATCCTGATTTCAACGTTAAACAACAGTGCATCGTCGGTGTTTCCACTGGCTTCAAGTAAGGGATGTCACATCTGTGCCATGTATATCAAACGATTCGTAATAAATATATGATACTGATGATCATTCTTATGGCGGAAGGCATCCGGTCAAAATTCTGCTGCTTCACGTTGCGAACACATGGTGTGATTTGAAAACTCGTTGATACATGATAGCAGACTTGGCAGCCATTCCACGAGGACGGCCTGCAAATGGTCGTCTGTAGACCGCCTACCGGCGCTGAACCAGCGATCACAGCAACAGCCATTCAATTACGTTTCATTCAACGGCTGAATCGTGCTCATGCCCAAAAATCCAACCAAAAAAGCGTCGAGAACCGAACGAGATTTATCCAATAGATGTATTTCCAACAGTAGTAACAGTAGTAACGCATCGAGATACAGGCATAGAAAACTTGTACCCTTTGTTCCCGAACATGGCGATGTCTCAGTGCAGCGCCGACCGCGTCAGAATAAGTCATGGACATGGTAATTTGTCACAAACGTTCTCCAAAACGCACTCTTGACTAGAACATGGCGCCCACCCTTGCCACTCCGTTCAAGAAGTGAACAAAACATAACAACTTCACAGAAAAGAGGGTTACTAAGTTTACTGAATATGTTCGAAAAAAGGGGCCATGTCTCCAGCGCTAAATAAAAGTGCATAATTCATTAATTTGACAGTAGTGTCATGAAATTCACAGTGCAAACTGACGTCACATGGCCGATCGCATGCTTCCATTTAACGACCGATGGATAATGCGCAACGCAACACCTGGGCTTCTCACAGAATAAACATAACGCGACCAGTGAAACTGGGCGCGTGATCTCCAACCGTCAAACACTAGAGGAAGTTTAAAGTTGTTCGGAAATATGACCACGTCAGCGGCAGATCGCAGCCAATAATTAGAAGATATGTGGCACGCCATTTGCTAGGACAGCACTTTCCCACCGCCACGTTTCTAATTCCACGTTCACTGCCACAACTGATGTTCACCCAGTCCAGATGGCGGTCCTCCGCAATTACGAGCAAAGAATACACGGTGCGATCCAGACACGGGGCTCACATGAATCCACAGCATATCATAAACAAATGCACCTAACAAACGGTACCACATTCAAGCTACTTAATCTCTAAACCCTGTCCAATACAAGCATCCAGTACCTCAAACCGCATACGCAAGGCATCAGAAAACATAGAGCAAATATCGCAAGTCCCATATCACTACAAACGAGTATCCCGCATTGCGTGGCCGGTCGGGCCCGCGAGTGCGTGTCGCGAGCCGGCGGTCAGTGGGCAATGCCGAAGTCGTTCCGGCCGCGCCAGACGTGAACTGCGCCGGCCAGCAGCACGACGCCGATGCCGACGCCGACGCCGACCACGGTCCAGTGTCGGGAGGGCACGATCGCGCGCAGCCGGCGGCGTCGCTCCAGCGCCAGCCGCCGCTGCTGCAGTCGCTCGCGCTCCTCCTGCTCGGCGTGGCGGCGCGCCCGGTTGAGCGCGTCCACGCGCGGCTGCAGCCGCTCGGGCGGAAGCTCGGCCAGCAGGCGCGAGGCGCGCGCCAATAGCCGCTCCCAGGGCAGGTGCGCCGGGATGTCGGCCAGCAGGCTGTGCACGGCCGCCAGATCGCATTCGCCGGCCAGTAGCTCGTCGCGGCGGTGCAGCACCACGGCCGCCGCCAGGTACACCGGCGACAGCCAGCTCGTCGCCAGCACGTAGTCGAACAGGCGCGTGATGAGCGCGAAGTCAGGAAGCACGTGGCTGAACCACGTGATGAGCCACGACAGCGCGAACGTGGCCATGGCCTCCGAGCGCAGCAGGAACTCGCAGACCGGCGGGTCCTCCGCCTCGAGCAACGGCAGCACGTAGGTAAGCAGGTCGCGCGTCTCCTCCATGGTGGGCGCCATGAACACCCGCAGCTGGTGGGCGGCAAGGTGACAGAGGACAGGCAGCGCCAGCTGCTCGCCACACACCAGCAGTACGGTGATGGCCACGTCGTGGTAGCCCTGGTAGTAGTGCAGCTCCGGGTGGGCGGCCAGCGAGCGGACAATCACTCTCACGAGGCCCTCCTGCATGCTGAAGCGCACCTGGTCGTCGATGCCCGGCGGGAAGCGCTTGAGCGTGCGCTCCACGTCGAGTAGCACCTGGTGGTGGTACGGGTGATCGCGCAGCTCGGCGTCGCTGAGCGGCGGCGCCTCCGGCAGCCGGCGGTCGGGCCGCAGCAGCAGCGGCCAGACGCGCCGGCGCAGCGCGTCCTCCAGCAGACCACCGGGCGACAGGGCCAGCTCGCGCACCGCCGCCATATCCAGTGGCTCGGTCCGCAGCTGGGTCAGCAGCTGGTCCCGCTTCTGTTGCCTCCACACCTCTTCCTCGTCTTCCTCCTCCTCCTCCCCCTGCCCCTCAGAGTCGCTGTCATTGTCGCCGACTGTGGGCGGACCCGGCCGCTCGTCGGTGCCGGCCGCCTCCGAGTCCGTCCCTGCAGCGCCAGAGTCGTCCGCCTCGCTGTCGCCGGCGGCCGGGTCAGCGGCCCGTACGCCCGCGGCGTCGGCGGCCGGTGGCGTGACGTCACTCGGTGGACCGAGGTCGCCTCTCGGCTCCGGCTCATGCTCAGCCTCGGCGGCTGGCCGGACGGCCGCGGCGTTCCCCGGTGCAGAGCCCTCGCCGTCCGCCGGACTGACGACAGTCATGGTAGCGGCGCCTAGTGCAGGAGCGAGATGCCAGTCAGGGCGAGCCACGGTCCTGCGCCAGGTGCAGGAGCGAGACGCCAGTCAGGGCGAGCCACGGTCCTGCGCCAGGTGCAGGAGTGAGATGCCGGTCAGGGCGAGCTACAGTCCTGCGTCAGGTGCAGGAGCGAGACGCCAGTCAGGGCGAGCCACGCTCCTGCGCCAGGTGCAGGAGCGAGATGCCAGTCAGGGCGAGCCACGGTCCTGCGTCAGGTGCAGGAGCGAGACGCCAGTCAGGGCGAGCCACGGTCCTGCACCAGGTGCAGGAGCGAGATGCCAGTCAGGGCGAGCCACGGTCCTGCGCCAGGTGCAGGAGCGAGATGCCAGTAAGGGCGAGCCACGGTCCTGCGTCAGGTGCAGGAGCGAGACGCCAGTCAGGGCGAGCCACGGTCCTGCGCCAGGTGCAGGAGCGAGATGCCAGTCAGGGCGAGCCACGGTCCTGCGCCAGGTGCAGGAGCGAGATGCCAGTCAGGGCGAGCCACAGTCCTGTGCCAGCTGCAGGGGCGAGACACCAGTCAGGGCGAGCCACGGTCCTGTGCCAGGTGCAGGAGTGAGATGCCAGTCAGTAAGGGTGAGTTACAGTCCTGTAGGTCATTTTGGCCAGTTTACTGTAGTATCATCAATAGCCTATCAGTAGTCACTGATGAGGTGAAAGTCAGGCTGCTCCATGCCCTTCCCCTGCAACCAGGAGGCTGTTGTGATGTTTAGGGCTGTAGTTCCTGTACATAATTTAGCATTAATGCTGTCCATGTGACTGTGATAATATTTACATAGTCAATGGTGAAAGTTTCAACAGAGGTTTTCTGGAAGTGATTTCACATCACATTCCCCATATGGCTGCAAAGTGGTGGTGTTGTCAGCACATGTTGACAAACAATTTGAAAATTCAGTGTGCTGAGCCCAAGAATAAGTTTGCATTGCTGTCATTGAGCAGCACAGCATAAACAGAAATGAAAAGTGATTGTTGCTGGATGTAATAAAGATATGTATTCACAGACCACAGCAATCAAGCCCATTAACAATATATTTAATTAGCTCTTGGCTCATTCAGTTTTTTTATGCAAGTTTCAGTTCCATTTACATGGCCATTCCAAACTTCTGAAGTACATAATATAGCTGACCAGTCCAGCTTGCTGAAATTCTCACACAAATCCTGGTAATAGAGCAGAAAACTATCTAAGAGCACAAACTTATTTCAATGCTAAAAACAACATTGTGAGCATTGAAGTGCTAAAGTGGGAAATTACAGTGCAAACAACAAATCTGGGTTAATTAATAAAGCACAAATAAACACTCAACACTTTCTTGCAAAACTCTGTAAAACAACTGGCCATGCCCTGCAGCACCAGTTGTCTCCCCCATGCCCTGCCCCACCCTCACACCCCACCCAACTACTCCAAGGCATTAACTGGATCATCCTGGAAATTTCCCTTACAGTAATGCATTGCATCACAATCTGAATTCTCACATTTCTAACTGCTTTTAAGAAATTGGAGACCTAGCTTTCTGACATATACAACCACACACTTGCAGCTAAATGATATAGCTTTATTGCTTGCTGAAGGTATTATGAGTAATCTTCTAGTAGCTGCACTGATGTCACAATTCCTGAAAATCAATGTTTCTATTTATACTACCAGAGTCAGCTTGAAAATTAACCTTTTTGTGCACCACCAAAGAATACAGCTTTGCATACACAGGGCATTTGCCCCAAGAGAGCCTCTGCTTGAAAAAGAGATCATACTTTGATGGTGACATCTGAGGCCCAAAGGTGGTAGCATGAAGTCATACACCACTGTGGACAGGAGCAGTGGGAGGTTTTTTGTTTGCTTGAGATGAGACTAAAAACTGCATTCCAATCATCTATTGTTTCAATGAACATCCACTCCTGGCTTGTAAGGGAAAACAATCATACTTGCATCCATTCATCCATGGAAACATCATGCTCTATCAAAGTCAGGTATAGCTGTTAATGTTACAGGCTATCCAAAGCAAAACATCCATTTCACTAACATCTACTGATTTTGGAAACATATATATGCATGCACTACTCAAGTTATAAGAACTTTGATGACACATCAGAACACCCATGCTATAGTTATGAGCCTCCTGTTGGATTGGAAAATTTACCAAATACTTATTGTGATTGGCAACAACCCCTGGTGGTGTCAGGGTTAGGAGCATGCACCAGTTATTCCCACCATGGTTTGCTTATTCCTGCAGTATCCATGTGTGCACACATGCTAACATACCATTATTTATGGCCAAGTTTGGTAAAATAGGTATGGACAGCAATAAGATAGCCACCTATTTGATTAATGCAAGGGCAGGCCCACTCACAGCACTACACCTTTGGAGCTGTGTCCATCAGGGGTGTAGTTCTCTATTTAGTTTCAGTTATTGGTGGGAAGGGAACTTCAGCTTCCAACTTTGAGCAGCAAGAGGGCCAAATTGGTGTCGTTTTTGCGTACAGTACCAAAATATTGTTTGGCGGATTTAGGGAGGAGATTTAGCGTTTTTCAAGCCCAACTCCCTAACTTACTTCGTGAGTGTGCCCCTGGCCCTCGCTACATATAACCAGTCCAAAGTCCCTTAACACTTCCGACCTTATTCTGGCGATCCAATGGGTTCACTCACCTGGGTATTAGTTTACTGATACTGGTGTATTGGTTCCACGCATTGATAGATTTATACCTCGGAATGATGGAAATCCCTCTTCCCTTAGGTCACTGGCTTACGCAACCGCGCGGGTAAGCAAATGTCTCCTGTTTGTATGCAATCGACCAGAACTGTCTACAAATTACAAAGGCAAAAGATAGCTAAACTCCTGAAACTGTCCTTGTTGGACATAATCATATGTGGTGCACTCCCTATGTGCAGAGGTAGAAATCGCTATCTCTTTGGCGGTCATGCCTTCCCAATGTTGAGCTGGGTTCCCAATGCTTGAACAGGCTCCCGCAACAACGGGCTGGCCGTCGCAATATTGGGCTGGACCTACATAATATGGAACCTGATCCCAACATCCAGTGTAACAGCTCTTTGGAAAACAGGCACAGACACGCTCCCTAGTAGCTGGTAGAATAACCCAATGCGATACATGCCAGGTGAAACCGCCCCGACAACGCACTTCTCAGCAAAGATCCCTATTTAACGTCACCTTTAACCCTGAGACAGCCGCGCGCGTGATAACGGCCATGAGAGATCGCGCGTATACAACAAGTTTGGTAGGTGGAATGATTCGTAAGGTCAAAGTAACTAGGAACGAATGAAAAGACCTAACAGCTTTGCCTGATTCTGAATGTATTGCAGGACGCGAGGTGGTAATATAGGACCCAGGAGACAAGCTTTTCTGAGAAGATCCGCCGCGTTTTACGCCCAAAAAGTGCTTAACGTAAGGACTGATCTATGACTTCGGATTCACCAGATGAACTCAAAACTGCGCCATCGGGTTATCAGTTTATTTCGTGTATCACGGCTGCCGCCCTGCGGGGTACCTACCCCAAGCGAATCCATAGAACTTTTGAGCTCCAGTTGGCATTTGGATTGGGCTTCGGTTTGGCAGATCACTCAACAGGTCAAAATGGTTGCATTGATGTAGCCTAAGACGGTGTACCGGAGCAAGTGCGGACGTATCTCCCACCTTCCTGGCTGAAATATCTTTGAGGAGCAGTCGGGTATAGCAGCGCAAGAAGCTTCTAAGGTGCCCCAAGCTCCTCGGCAGGGGCTCCCGACCTGGAGCTGGTCAGGCCCATTCGCGTGGCCCCATCTAACAAAGACAGTAAAGTCCATGCACACTGGGGCCTAGTGATTCACCAAAGCTAGGCCATGACGGTTGCTAGTTTCAACGTGCAAAAGGTACCACTGGTTTGCTCTGATATGTAGATAGGTTGACTGTTAGTAGTCGCAACCAAGAGGTGTCGCCACTTACGCAGCGGAGTGCTTGATTACAACCGGGGTCGGATACTCAGCTGGGATCTGTGGGTTGTTCAGGTGTCTGGAATACAGAGCCGCACGCGACTGGTGCGCCGAGCGAATTGTTTCATTAGTCATCCACGCATAGATCAACTGGCGACGAGAGTTGGATAGCGAACTTTGTTTTTTTTAAGTGGCGGCCACAAGATGGCTTTATCACTGATTGGGAATATCGGCGAGTACAGTGATAATGACTCGGACTTTGGGGAGTATCTGAAGCGGTTTGAACAGTTTCTGACTACTAACGCCATCACGTCTACGTCGAGGAAACGGGCCGTATTTCTGAGCGCCTGTGGGTCACGCGTGTACTCGGTTCGGCGAAGTATCTGTGCTCCGGAGCAAACCGTCTCGAAAACCTGTGATGAGCTGGCGGAGGCAGCCCAGAGGCATTTCATCCCGAGGCCGACGGTGATCGTGTCGCGGTATAAGTTAAACCGGAGTGCATGAGCTGGACAGACAGTGTCTTTGTGTTTTTGGCGGAACTGCGGCGGATGGCAAGGGACTGTTCGTACAGTGATCGCCTGGAGGAGCATCTTCGGGACAGATTTGAGTGCGGGCTAAGCAACGGGGCGATGTTGTAGCGACTTCTGCAGGAGGGAGACAGCCTGTCTCTGGAATCCGCCATAAAAATAGCGACCGCGATGGAGACAGCAGCTGCTGATTTGCAGGAGATCAGTGTCGCTCCGTAAGCAGTCTCGCTGATGGCTCCAGCAGGGGCCAGTCCCACCAGTCCGGAGACGCTGCACGCAGTCGGTCCGGCGGCGCCGCCACCGGAAGGGCTGAGGCGACGACCCCGCCCATTCCGGCCGGCGGCGGCTGGGTCGGCGAGTTTTGGCAGCCTGCCATGCGGATCAGCGGGTGGAGCAGCATGCGTACGCTGTGGTCGCCGCGGTCACCCAGCGCCGGAATGTCCACACACACCTAGCCTGCCTGCTGTGGGTGTGGAAAAGTGGGACACCTTCGGAATGCGTGCAGAGCGATGCATACCGTACTGGCGGACAGCGCGGAATCGGATGGAGAAAATAGCATGTTACATGTGAACGGTACAATGACTCCGAACCGTGTTCCTCCGTACAAGACGACAGTGGAGGTTAACGGGAAGCCGCTGGTGTTTAAAGTGGACACAGGAGCAAGTCAGATGATCATCAGCGAGGTCATGTGGCGGACGGAGTTGGGGAGTGTTCCGCTGGAACCGGGCCGGGAGTCACTGACCACATACACGGGAGATGCGGTGCTGGTGCGCGACCGACTGACAGCGCGCGTGAAGTGTGGCGCGCAGCAGTCCACGCTGACCCTGCTCGTGGTCCACGGCGACGGGCCCCCACTCCTCGGCCGGGACTGGCTTGCGCAGCTGCGGCTACCATGCAAAAGCATCTTCAGCATGGCATCACCGCTGACCGACCTGCAGCAGCAATACAGTTCGCTGCGCATGATGGAGCAGCTGCTGGCCGACCTGTCACGCGTTGCCGTCTTCCTGGATGACGCGTGCATCACGGGCTGGAACGATGAAGAGTACGGTCACAATGTCGAAGCGGTGCTGAAGCGTCCCTTAGAAGCTGGTCTGCGGCAGAACCCAAGCAAGTGTGAGTGGATGTCTAAAGAAGTAGAATACTTGGGTTAAAGGATCGACTGCAACGACATCCATCCCACAGCCGGAAAAGTGCGGGCAATCGTGGAGGCGCCACAGCCTGCTGACGTCAAGCAGCTGAAGGCATATCTCGGACTGCTCATGTACTACTCCAAGTTCATGGACAGCCTGGCCACTGTGGCGGCGCCGCTCTATCGGCTATTGAATGCAGCCCAACGGTGGAGCTGGGAACAGACGGAGATCGCGGCATTCGCGCGCACCAAACAGCTGTTGGTGCAAGCGCCGTGCCTCGCACACTACGACGTGAACCTGCCGCTCCCACTGTCTGTGGACGCTAGCCCGCACGGGCTGGGAGCTGTGCTGTCAGTGATCGACGGTTCGGGACTGGAACGCGCGGTGGGGTATGCATCGCGGAGCCTGGCGGCCGTTGAGGTCAACTACAGTCAGTTGGATAAAGAAGGACTGGCGGTGGTCTTCGGAGTGAAAAAGTTTCACCAGTTCATGTGTGGCCGGCACTTCATCATACAAACGGACCATAAGCCTCTCCAGGACCAGTGACAAGCCGCTATCGCTCATGGTGTCGCCCCGAGTAGGCAGATGGCGCCTCGCACTGTAGGCGTACCAGTATAAGCTGGTGTACGCCCCCTCAGCTCGGCAGGCAAACAGCGATGGACTGAGCCGCCTGCCACTGGCTGTCTGCCCGGCCAGCGTTCCGGATCCCGGAGACATTGTCTGTCTCCTGGAGTCAATGGACCAGCTGATTCGTGTCGATCAGATCCGCCGGTGCACAAGCCGTGACCCAGTCTTGCCACGTATTTGTCAAGCAGCCATGGACGGCTGCTGGACGGTGCCGGCAGCTGATGGAATGGAGCCATTCTACCAACGCCGTCTCGAACTCAGCGTTCAAAATGGCATCCTTCTATGGGGAAACCGCATCGTGGTGCCCTCTGCTCTGCGGGGGGCGAGGCTGTCGCTCCTGCACCAGGGACACCCCGGCGTCGTGGCAATGAAGTCAAAGGCACGCGCGCATGTGTGGTCGCCCGGTACGGACGCAGCCATCGAGTCGACCGTGAGGAGCTGTCATGCCTGCCAGCTGAACCGGCCCCAGGCCTCCCCGGTGGCGGAGAGCCCATGGCCGTACCCGGAGGCACTGTGGGACCGTCTGCACAAGGACTATGCAGGGCCGATCCATGGGGCGATGATTCTGGTCATCGTGAACGCCTACTCAAAGTGGATATCGGCGTATCCCACGACGGCGTCTACAGCAGAGGCGACGATCGAACGGTTGCGGATAGCCTTTTCAGGGCATGGTGTGCCACGTGTAGTGGTGAGCGACAGCGCGGCAGTGTTCACCGGTGATAAGCTCCGTCGCTTTCCCACCGATAATGGCGTGCAACATGTGTTCTCCCCTTCTTTGCACCCGAAGTCCAATGGTCAGGGCGAGTGCAGTCAAGGTGATCAAAACCGGTCTGAAGAAGCAGAGTGCTGGGCCGCTACAGACGCGCCTGAGTCGGGTCCTGTTTCAGTTTCGGACCACTCCTCACTCGACTACGGGCGCGTCGCCCGCGGAGCTGCTCCACGGCCGCCCGCTGACCACTCACCTGTCCCGGCTGCGGCCAGACTCCGCCCTGCTCGAACGTGCCCGAACCAAACAAGAGCGTCAGGCACTGACAAACAACCGGCACTCGACCGCGGTGCGGCAGTTCGAGAATGGCGACCCGGTGTACGTGTCTGCGGTCGGCCAGCGGCCCTGGCAGCCGGCGGTGGTGGTGGCGGTATCGGGCCGTGAGTGTGCCGTCCGGCTGCCGGACGGCTGCTGCTTCCGGCGACACGTTGATCACCTGCGGGCTCGGTCGCCGGACAGCCCTTTGGTCGACAGCGGGATGGCAGTTGGCGTTCCGTAGTGTCCTGTGTCGCCGGCGGCGGCCACAGTGGAGCGGGCGAGCCCGGCTCTTCTGACAGAGAAGTGCCACTTTGCTCTCCCTTTGCGGCCCTGCGCCGGTCGGGTCGCGAGTGTGTGTTACCCGCTCGTTATCAGTAATGTTAGATCGCCATGTCGGATGGTCGGACGCGCTGTCAGTTGTGTATTATTCTCGAACTCGTTAATCTTACGGGGGAGGAGTTGATATGTATACAGGTTCGCTGTCAGCAGTCGCAACCAAGAGGTGTCGC